AAATTTCTCTATTGGAATCCATAAACCTGAATTCAAAATGAAGCATTATAGAAGCAAATTTACTATGTCTGCAAGTGTATAGCTTAGATACATGATTTGGATAAATGATTACTAAATAAACATAGAAAATTAGCTCCTGCATCCATCCCCTTTCCCTTCATCCACCCCCTTTCCTGAATTTGTAATCAAATAACCCTTCAGCCCTAAAGACTCCTGCCAAGCAGGAGAGAAGAATGGAGTTAACAGTTTAATTCAATTCAACTCTACGCAATCAGCAGATAATTCAGGGCAAAGGAGTCATCTGTTAGCCTTGTCTCCTAGGAATCCTCCTAGCATCTCCTCACCTTGTTATTGGGAGATGAGACTAGAACTATTTTTTAGCTTAAACATCAATATCACTCTTACATTAGGATAGTTTTGTTTATGTCCCCTATTTTTGTTCATGATTAAGGGAGTTACCCTTCATTCCAGATGACACTTGATGCACTGATTGCCTGTATGTAAAAAAAGAAATTAAAAACTCCTCCCGGGACACAATGTTGTGAATGAGGACAGCTGTTTTGACTGATGTAGCACAGTTTTTTTGCTGACTCTCCCCTGCTCGGTTTGGTCTTGAGTGTCTAGAATCTTTGTTCCGATTGAGTCTATGCCCTCCTCCCTCAGCCCCAGACTCCTGGGCCCCGCGGGACACAGGGCATTCCTGTTCTCTATCTCTGGGCCACCTTTGGTTAAGAATGTTGGCTAACAGAGAACCAACTGCATAGATCTCTCTTCTGACTTGAGGTGAGCACTAAGAGGTGACCCTGTGATCCTGTTTTTTTGTCTTTTCAGGACACTGTTTCCGTTCATAGACCAAGCTTTTATGCAGACAGATTTCTAAAGTTCATGAATTCCAGAGTTTTCAAGAAAATTCAAGGTAAGAGTCTTACGAAATTTTTTTTTTTTTTATTTTAGCAGCTTAATTTCATTATGTATTTTGCAAAAATTTTATTGGAAGAACTTATGCAGACAGATTTCTAAAGTTCATGAATTCCAGAGTTTTCAAGAAAATTCAAGGTAAGAGTCTTACGAATTTTTTTTTTTTTTTTACTTTTAGCAGCTAATTTCATTATGTATCTTTGCAAAAATTTTATTGGAAGAACTAACGCATTTCTCTCCCTGCAGCAGTTATCACATAGTAATTATGGTTAAGTAACCCAGTCTGGTGTTTATTGATGTCCTAATCATCAGAGTCCTGTTTAGTGGTGAAAAAATTTAGAAGCTATCTAAATGTCCAACCATATAATATATTGGTTGAATATGTTATGATACAGTCAAATAATGGAATAGTATGCAACCAATAAAAAAAGATGTGTTAGCAGCACATTTAGTTTGTTAAATATAGATGTGTTCACCTTATATGTAGTTATCAGTGTGTATACCTTAAATGCACAGCAGAATTCTAATGGAATATACAAAACAGCAGTTATTCTCATGGGACATTCTCCAGGATAGATCATATGTTAGGCCACAAAACAAGTCTCAATAAATTTTAAATGATTGAAATCATACAAAGTATATTTTCTGATCACAATGGAATGAATCAATAAACAGTGAAAACTGAAAACTTGACAAGTATTTGAAAATTAAACTACACACTCTTAAACTACCAATGAGTTAAAGAAGAAATTACAAGGAAATTAGAAAAACCTCAGAGATGAATGAAAATGAAAACAAACCTACCAAAAATTTATGGGATGCTGTGAAGGCATTGCTCAGAGGAAAATTTATAGCTGTAAACTCTTACCTTAAAAAAAAAAAAAAAAGGAGGCCGGGCGCGGTAATCCTAGCACTTTGGGAGGCTGAGGCAGGCAGATTGCTTGAGGTCAGGGGTTCAAGACCAACCTGGCCAACATGGCGAAACCCTGTCTCTACTAAAAATACAAAAATTAGCCAGGTGTGGTGGCATGCACCTGTAATCCTAACTACTTCGGAGGGTGAGGCAAGAGACTTGCTTGAACCCGGGAGGCAGAGGTTGCAGTAAGCCGAGATCATGCCATTCTACTCCAGCCTGGGCACCAGAGTGAGACTGCATCTCAAAAAAAAAAGAAAGAAAGAAAAAAGAAAAATATCAAATCAATACCCTAACTTTAAACCTTGAGTAACTAGAAACAGAAGAGGAAACTAAACCCAAAGCTAACAATGCTTATTCCAGATCAAGGGAGTATGTGGGCTCTTATTTTCCTTTATATTGATATTTATTAAATTTTCTACAATTAATATGTCGTATCTGTGGGAAGTTTTTAAGACATGTGAAAGGAGAAAATAACCCTAATATATAGTTGTTTTATCATTTTGCTATTCTGTGATTCAATTTCATAAACTAAAACATGATAATTTAATCACACACAACTGAAAAAATAGAATGTTCATGTTTTATATTTAAATAAGATGAATTTTCCTGGTAATATTTATTGGAGATTTTTTAATTAATGAAAGTCAAATACTTGCAATGTAAAAATTTTGGAAAATCCAAGAAGATGAAAAAAAATGAAAATTCTTGAAATGCCACAACCCAGAGATGTCCACTGCTAATATTTTGATGTACTTTCTACCAATCTTTATTTCTATGCTTTGTGTATTTACATTAAAATGATAGCATAATGGTACACAATTTTAGGTATGGTACTCTTTTTTCACATAGCATTGTAACACGTATAGTTTATAATGTTATATTTTCCATATCATTGTATATTCTACAGGGCACCATTTGAAATTGCAACACATTAAAATTATATGAGTGTGATATAATCTATTTTTTTTTTTTGACAGAATCTATGTAATCATTCTTTCAGTATTGGGCATTTACATTGTTTCTCCTTTTTCTATTTCTTACTAGTTTATGAACATAATTTCAGACAAATGTTGTGTCCAAATTTAGGATTATTTCTGTAGAATGGATTCCAAGAAAGGGGTACTAGGGTAATAAAATGCACGTAACTGCACAGAGAGATTGTGCCACAGAAGGCTCCCATGAGAGCCTGTGTTTTACCAGCCCTTAGCCAGCATTGTGGTTTTAAATTATGCCACTCTGATAAGTAAAAAATGTTATCTGATTGATTTATTTTGCATTTCTTAAGTACTGGTAAGGTTCAACCCTTATTCATGTTTATTAGCCATTTGTAGTTCCTTTGAGAATTGAGCTTTGTAACATTTGACCATTTATATTGGCTATTTTTTTTTCCAAATTATTAATATCAATTCCATGTGTTAAAGATATTAACCCCTTTTTTAACCTTATTTCACTCTAAGGGAAACTTTCTTCCACATTTGACTCTCCCAATGGTATCTTAAAATTGCTGTCAAACTGACATCACCATAAATTATTTGCCCAAGGTTTCTTTGGCCTAGAATAGACTATAAGATAGTGTTTATTGAAACTGCAAGCTTACATGAATACCAGCTTGTGGTTCCTTGTTTTGTTTTTTTTTGTTTGTTTTTTTTTTTTTGAGACAACGTCTCACTCTATCACCCAGGCCGGACTGCAGTGGTACGATTTTGGCTCACTGCGACCTGTCTCCCGGGTTCAAGCGATTCTTCTGCCACAGCCTCCCGAGTAGCTGGGATTACAAGCATGCACCACCACGCCCAGCTGGTTTTTGCTTTTAGTAAAGATGGGGTTTTGTCTTGTTGGCCAGGCTGTCTTGAACTCCTAGCCTCAAGCGACCCACCCACCTCAGCCTCCCAAAGTACTGGGATTACAGGCTTAAGCCACTGCGCCCTGCTGTGGTTCCAATTTTTAAGAAAGATTTTTTCACCTTTCTTAGCCCTGTGCCAAGACTGGAAAAACATGGGTTTCACTGCAACCCCTGGTGCATTTTGGAGGATGCATCCCTTTAATGTTCCAGCTTTGGTGAGCCTCCCTTAGGAGACTCCCCATCTTGGGAGGTTTTTCTTTCTTAGGGGCATATAAATTAATGGTACGATCAATGGCATCTTCAATTTCATAAAATAAGGCATGTGTCACAGATTTTTCCAGTTTGGAGAATGTATCAGGATTTTAATGGAACAAGTTTTTAAACTCATAGGTAATCAAATCTATTGACATTTTCCCATTTTGATTTTTGATTTTATTATCTATTTTTTAATAATAGCTTTATTGAGATATAATTAAGATGTGTACGCGTCACCCTTTTAAAGCATACAGGCTTATGATTCTTGATTTATTCACAAAGTTATGCAATCATCACCATTTTCTAATTTTTTAAATTAATTTATTTATTTTGAGATGGAGCTTCACTCTGTCGCTCAGGTTGGAGTGCAGTGGCGCAATCTTGGCTAACTGCAACCTCTGTCTCCTGGGTTCAAGTGCTTCTCCTTTCTTAGCCTCCCAAATAGCTGGGATTACAGGCGTGAGCCAGCACACCCAGCTAATTTTTGTATTTTTAGTAGAGATGGGTTTTCACCATGTTGGCCAGGCTGGTCTTGAACTGCTGACCTCAGTTAATCCACCCGCCTCAGCCTCCCAAAGTGCTCGGATTATAGGCATGAGCCACCATGCCCGGCGATTTTCTAATTTTAGAAAATTTTCATTACCCCAAAAAGAAACCACATACCCATTAGCAGTCACTCCCCATTCCGTCCTCTTCCCAGCCCCTGGCAACTACTGATTTACTTTCTGTCTCTATGGTTTTGCCTATTCTGGTATTTCACATAAATCATATAATGTGAACTTTTCTGTTTGGCTTTTTGCACTTAACAGAATATTTTTGAGATTTATCTGTAGCATCGTAGCATGTATCAGTAATTATTCTTTTTATTGCAGAGTATTCCGTTATATTGATATACCATAGTTTGTTTATTCATCAGTTGATGGATATTTGGTATGTTTCCATTTTGGCTATTATGAATAATGCTGTTACGAACATTCATGGACAAGGTTTTGTACGGGCATATATTTTCATTTCTTCTGAATATATACCTAGAAGTGGAATTGCTGGGTCAGATGGTAACTCTCTGATAACATTCTAAGGAACTGTCAACTCTTTTCCAAAGCAGCTGCATCATTTTACAATCCCACCAGCAATGTATACAGGTTCCAGTTTCTCTGCATCCTCACTGACATGTGTTATTGCCTGTCTTTTTTTCTTTTGGCCATCCTGATAGGTATGAACTAGTATCTCACTGTGGTTTTGATTTACATTTCTCTAATGACTGATGATATTAAACACCTTGTATGTGCTTATTGGCAATTTATATCTTCTTTGGAGAAATGCTCACTCAAACCCTTTGTCCATTTTTAGTTGAGTTTTGTTTTATTATTGAGTTGTAAGAGTTCTTTGTATATTCTGGAAACAAGTCCGTTATCAGACATATGATTTGCAAACATTTTCTTCCATTCTGTGGGTTGTCTTTTTACTTTTTTGATAGTGTCTTTTGAAGCACAGAATTTTTTAATTTTGATGTCCAATTTTTTTCCTCTTGTTGCTGGTGCTTTTGGTGTGATCTAAGAAAGCATTCCCTAACCCAAGGTCATGAAGATTTACTCTCATGTTTTCTTTGAAGAGTGTTATAGTTTTAGCTCTTACATTTAGGTTTGTGATTCATTCTGATTTAATTTTTTTGTATATGATAGGAGGTAGAATCTATCTTCATTCTTTTGCATGTGGATAGCCAGTTGTTTCCCCAACATTTGTTGAAAAGCCTATTCCTTCCCCCGGTTGAATTATCTTGGCACTCTTATTGAAAATCATCATGAGAAAACATAAACCAGACCAAAAAAAAAAAAAAAAAGAAAAGAAAGTCGATTGACCACAAGTATACGGGTTTACTTATTGACTCTCGCATCTGTTCTATTGATCAATATGCCTACCCTCATACCAGTACCATACTATCCTGATTACTTCTCGTTTGTATTGTTAAGTTTCATGATCAAGA